ACGACGACGACTACTACTACTACTACGACCACCACCACCACCACCACCACCACCACCACCACCACCACCACCACCACCACCACCACCACCACCACCACCACCACCACCACCACCACCACCACCACCCGCACCCGCACCCGCACCCGCACCCGCACCCGCACCCGCACCGCAACAATAACAACCGTAACAACCACCACAACAAATACTAGCTGGCAAGGAGATCGAGCAGCGGGTCTTCCGGGATGACCGTTGGGGTGTCGCGCAGCAGCAGCTTCGAGATGGCTGCTTGGATTGATTGAACTAGTGATGGCGGGCTCGGACCGATGGCAATCAGAAAATCTTGTCGATGGCCCAGGCCTGGGGAAGGAGCAGGCCAAGGGGCTGCTGCAAGAGGGCGCCAGGAAGCCGCCGGGCTGCACGTGGCAGATGGCTTCCGGAAAAGCCTTGAGCCTCTTCACGTGCAAGTCCACTTGACTTGAGCTAAGGTGTGGTTTTTGGAACTTGCCCGATGAAGCTCTGGAAGCACTTGTGGGTCAGCTGTTGAACAGCGAAGAGATCGCAAGCCCAGGGTTGAGGCAGTGGGCCACCTTCAACGAGACTGAGGCCGGCGTCACCGCAGTGATGCCATGCGAGAGTAAGCCCAAGGATGCCAAGGATCCTAAGGCGAAGGGCAAGTCGGAGATGAGCGAGAAGACTGACAGGACCGGTGGCAGCCAAATCGACATGCAGCCCATGCGTACCTTTGCAACCTCCAGGTTCAGCGTGGACCTAGTGACCTTGGAAGCAAACACCTCATGCGAAACAGGCGTAAACGTCGCACGTTTCCTTCCGCAAGAAGAGCTGCCCAACACACGGGCTGCGGGGATGAAGCCTTTGTCGCGTCTGCCTGACTGGCGTGGCCACCTGGTCAGCCCCAACTACTTCCGCATGATCAATGCCAGTCTGCACGTGGTAGTGCTGTTGGCCTCGGCCTTCTATGCCCTTGACCTGGTGACCAATAAGTGTCTTGGCAGGGAAGGGCTAGTGTCTTCAAACGCAGTTTACAGGCTGGAGGGCTTCTCGTGCAGAACGCTGCTGATGACTTTTCTTGTCGCTTCCTTTTAAGAGACTCTCAGCATATGGAAGGGTCTCCTATGTTTTTGGAAGCGCCAGGTAGGAACCACAATGGATAAAGCCAGAAGCCTGAAAGGCTCAAAGAGCCTTTCCCTACTTTGAGGTATCCTTTGGCCATCCCTATGTTCAGTTGGCCCATTTTCTTTGCGCGCCTGGGGGGCATGGCCACAGCAATCTGGTCCGCCCTCCTTTTCCTCTCCATGTCTCGCGGCCTGCTCACGGTGTGTTCAAGGCAAGAATGCAAGTTCTTTGCGTGCCGGAGGGCTTCGTTTTAGACAGTCGAGGAACTCATACCCTGCTGGCAGTCGCAAGTCGTTTTAGAGATATGCACGTAGCTAGGAAGCATTGCCTTCTTACTGGCTGGCTCAATGGATGGACCCCACTGCACGGCTTAAGACCTAAATTGCATGGAAGGTAGACAGATATTGTGGCAGTTTCCTAGGTCCTTCGCTGAGCTCGGCGCAAACCCATCGGAGAAGGTCATCCACTACCCTGTAATCGTATATAGAGTTGTCGAGTCAAACTCATTATCTGAGAGGTGGTCTACATCGGACTTCAGTTATAAAAGCAGTCCGTCCCCGATCAGTCAGTCCAATTGCCAGA